GGAATCTCAGAATCTCAGAATCTCAGAATCTCAGAATTTGCGGAATCTGAGAATCTCAGAATTTTGGAATTTCGAAATCTCAGAACCTCAGAATCTCAGAATCTCAGAACATCGGAATCTCAGAATTTCGGAATCTCAGAATCTCAGAATCTTAGAGTTTCAAAATTTCAGAATCTCGAACGAAACCTCAGAATCTCAGAATCTCAGAATGTCAAAATCTCAGAATCTCAGAATCTCAGAATCTCAGAATCTCAGAATCTCAGAATCTCAGAATCTCAGAATCTCAGAAGTGTCGGAAACTCAGAATTTCGGAATCTCAGAATCTCAGAATCTCAGAATCTCAGAATCTCAGAATCTCAGTATCTCAGAATCTCAAAATCTCAGAATCTGCGAATCTCAGAATCTCAGAATCTCAGAATTCCAGAATCTAAGAATTTCAGAATCTCAGAATTTCGGAATCTCAGAATCTTAAAATCTCAGATTCTCAGAATTTCAGAATCTCAGATTCTCAGAATTTTAGAATTTCAAAATTTCGGAATCTCAGAATCTCAGTATCTCAGAATCTCAAAATCTCAGAATCTCCGAATCTCAGAATCTCAGAATCTCAGAATTCCAGAATCTAAGAATTTCAGAATCTCAGAATTTCGGAATCTCAGAATCTTAAAATCTCAGATTCTCAGAATTTCAGAATCTCAGATTCTCAGAATTTTAGAATTTCAGAATCTCAGAATCTCAGAATCTCAGAATCTCTGAATTTCAGAATTTCAAAATTTCGGAATCTCAGAATCTCAGAATCTCAGAATTTCAGAATCTCAGAATTCCAGAATTTCAGAATTTTCTTTCCAAATCCAAAAAATGGAAAAGAACCCAATAAACCTAAATGGTCCTTTTACTTCATTTTGCTTTGTCCCAAAAAAAAGCAGACACGACTACTTTAACATTGCTCACACGAAAAAGGAAAACAAGAAAGATTTCACCCTCTCCCTACTCTGTCCATTTAAATCTGAGCAATTGGGTTTTCCTCTTTTCATGAAAATTGAAAAAAAAGAAGACGAAAAAGGAAATGGGAGGTCTGGGTATAAATGAAATGAAGGACTTTTATTATTTTCAATAAATTTGTCTTTTTCCAGGAAAATTAAAATTTTCTGATGCTAGGAAAAGTGGAATTTACTAAAAACAAGGATAATTCAAAATTTCACAACAATGTTTTGAATTCCGCGATTTTGAAACTGGAAAAACTGAAATCTTGAAAGTTTAGAATTTATATTTTCTGGAAGATTCGGTTCTCTCGTATATTTTCTATATTCTGAAATTCTGAGATTCTGAGATTCTGAGATTCTGAGATTTCGAGATTCTGAAATTCTGAGATTCTGAGATTCTGAAATTCTGAGATTCTGAGATTCTGAGATTCTGAAATTCTGAGATCCTGAGATTCTAAGATTCTGAGATTCCGAGATTTCGAGATTCTGAGATTCTGAGATTTCGAGATTCTGAGATTCTGAGATTCTGAGATTCTGAGATTCTGAGATTCTGAGATTCTGAGATTCTGAGATTCTGAGATTCTGAGATTCTGAGATTCCGAGATTCTGAGATTCTGAGATTCTGAGATTCTGAAATTCTGAGATTCTGAGATTCTGAAATTCTGAGATTCTGAGATTCTGAGATTCTGAAATTCTGGTTTCTGAAATTCTGAGATTCTGAGATTCTGAGATTCTGAAATTCTGAGATCCTGAGATTCTAAGATTCTGAGATTCCGAGATTTCGAGATTCTGAGATTCTGAGATTTCGAGATTCTGAGATTCTGAGATTCTGAGATTCTGAGATTCTGAGATTCTGAGATTCTGAGATTCTGAGATTCTGGAATTCTG